TTTTTTTTTTTTTTTTTTTTTTTTTTTTTTTTGTTAATTGACACCAGTCATTTTGTCACGTTGTTTTTATGAAGTTTTGCTTTTGCTGTTAATCGAAGCACGACTGCGTGGTTACTGGCTTGTATAGAAAAAATGCTATTGAAAATTGCCTTTCCTCAGTATTAAAAAAAGGTCTGAATGCTTGTTTAGAAAATGACAAATTTAACTCGACAAGGAGAGAGCATCAACGCTTACATTTACGGATTGTTTGCGAGTTTGGCATATACTCAGGAAGTGGTTTTGCTGCTAGACGTGAGTCGGCTAAATATTTATTTGACGAGTTTTCTCAACAAGAATAGCTAGCTGTCTTTTGTCGTTCTTCCGCAGTTTCCTCCGTCCCTTCCCCTCTGATCGTTCTCATCCTAACTGTTTCTCTTTCCAGCATTTTAGTGCGTGGAGTGGAAGGGCAGTTCGGCAAAGCGGAGGGGTATAGGAAGTTATCGATTGTTAGTTAAAGGTTGCGAGAAGAACTAGCAAGTGGCTTGAGATAATGGGTGGAGGTTGGTAGGGTGAAACGAGAGAAGGTTTAGCAGTCGCGTTGTTGATCGGTATATTTTTGTGCTCGGAAGTGTTGATGTAAAGGACGTCAATTACGTCACTAGGCGGCGTGGATTTCGTGTGGAGAGTTAAGGAACAGACACTACTCCAGCAAGTTTGGGTTCATAAGACTTACAAATTTGGAGGAAGGAATGTGGTGAGATGAAAGGTTTATGAAGCATATAAGAAAGATTTGTGCGTATTCAAATGCTATAAGAATAAAGTTTTTCGCATGGTTTTTGCGTTGTAGTATCAGTTTTACGACGCGAAGTGCGTCTTTGATTGTCGAGACGTCTGTTTCAAAAATGTTCCAAATTTTATAAATGAAAAGCGAGTAGTTGGAAAGAGCTGATTTTTTTGGTGTTTGTGGCTGACGTCATTTTCAAGCAGACTGCCGAGTTTATTTTGTTTGCAAAACAGTGAGTTAACAAGTAATTGGTTATTTTTTAATCAGGTCGGTCAATTAAATTTGTCTATTGAAGGGCCAGGCAAATCAATTTTATCGTTCACAATTAGAATTGGTTGTCTGTGGGTTTGTGTGGACTTGTATGTAGACAAATTTTTTGTTGAATTGTGTGGTTTCTGAAATCCATTGTTCCTCAACTTTAGGTAGATAAAGTATTGCTTGAATTTGAACTGCGAAGAGAATAAGAACGTACTAAGGAGTGTCTTCTCGCCACTCGTTAACGGTGTACAGCTAAAGCTGCTGCAGTTACCTTGTATTCTGTGAGAAGGTAGTTACAACATTTGAAAACTTTATTGTGACCGACTGCTCAGCTACGGGACTGCA